ATTAATTTTAAGCTTGCGAGCTTTCAAGTCGAGTTAAGCTTAAATTTGAAAATTTCAAGTTGAGACCAACAATACTTGAACTCAACTCGACTCGTTTACCGCCCCACAAATATAGTCTTGTGGTGGCTATGGACCCAAATGAAGCCAAAATAATAATTAACCGAATCGAAGAGTTAATAACGGAACTAAATATTTATTTTAAAAATTATTGAAAATTAATTTTAACAGTAATTCTACTTATTAAACCTTGTATATATGTGACTTCACACAGTAAATATAAATCAATTAAGTATTTTTTCGATAAATCCTCCATCATGATTTCATAGAAAGAAAATAAAATTATAATAATAGATATTGATGCTTATAGGACAAACTCATGAAATATTGAGTGAATTAATAAAAATACATTTATTTTAAAATAAAATAAGAGTTGAAAAATATTTAAAATATAATGTGAGATTGTTGAAATTTTTTAATTGTCATCGGTTTTTGATTTAGAAATAAGATCAAATTTTTGTTTTGTTCAATACAAATTAGTTTATTTTATTTGAAAATAATGAAAATATAATAAAGAGAAAAGAGCCCTAACTTAAGAAATTAAATCCAAGAAAAAAAATATAGTTTAGTCCCTAACAAATTATAAAGATATAAGGGAATTTCATTTGACCTCCCTTAAATTAATAGAAATATTGTTCGGTCCCTATAAAATTATAAAGATACAAGTTAATATGATTTTAAAATTGTATTTTGGCTACCTAAAATAATTATAATTCAACAACGCCGTAAGGAAAAATGTTAATTATGTTATGGCTTCACCTCTGATCTAGTGAAATTGACTTGTAAGCGTTTTTTTTAAAATTAAGTTAAAGTGATTATAAAGTAGTATCTGTATTAAATACTCTTAATCATTTGGCAATGAACGTTCAATCACCTTTGCAATCGCTGGTGCTCGAACCCATGACTTATAAGTTGTATATTATTGCTGACTGAAATAGAGAGGGTAAACTACATATTTAGTCACTCTTCTATTTTTGCGATTTAATTTTGGTCACTCAATTATTATTATTTTCAAAATCATACTTAGTGTTTTACTTTAGTTCTGTTTTGGAACCAAAACGAAACCAAAATATAAATATTAGATATGATTTTAAAAAAGAAGAGTGATCAAAATAGAAGCAGAAGAATAGAAGAGTGACTAAATACGTAGTTACCCAAATGGAAAATTAGATTGAGTTAGACTTTTCTCTAACAAAAACCTAGGTCAATCAAACTCCCGGAAAACATGCAAAACTAGGCTGGAATGATTCAAAGACTTTTATTTGTGCAGCATAAATTTCCATGGAGTAATAGACGTGCCAAAACCTAACATTAGTTGTATTTTGCTATAAAAAGGGTGCCAAGTATTAGCGCATCGCAGCAGTTCCTAAAAGAGTACGTAGTAAATTTTTATTGCCTTGGAATTTGGAAAGTAGCTTAGCTTGTTTTCTTCGTCCATGGCAATGGCGAATGCCAAAGCTTGTTCCACCTTCATGCCTTCAACTTTGCTTCTGCTTTTCGGGTTGTTACTGGCTATCTTCAAGACCACAGGTCTCTCTTCATATTCTCTTTGTGTGTTTTACTTTAATAGTACTCGTGATTACAAGATAATATGTTCAGAATTTTCTTAATTATTGATAACGTACACACCCTGAAAATGCAGCTACTCTAACTTAAGACCTTTAGGGAGGACATTACTTTATGACCACTTGATGTATTAATATATATAAGTTTGATTTCCTAAGAGCAAGTTAATATTAGGCATAATATAAAAAGATGGTTCTAACGTTTGATTAAATAATCACTTTTACTCTTTTTTCTGAATATTTTAACTCTCTTCGTTTCATTTTGAGGCAAAAAGGTCATTATGTGAATGAAAATCGTTAGTCAACAAACGGATAGTACTCCAAAATAGGGACCTTTTTGGCTTAAAATAAAACATTGAGACCAAAATGCTAAAAAAAGAGCCAAAGTGATTATTTAATCAAATGTTAGGGACCTTTTTACTCTAAAACAAAATGTTGGAATCAAAATACTTCAAAAAGAAAAAATAAAGATCAAAAGTGATTATTTAATAAAGAGGTAGAAACATTTTTTATCGCCTTAAAATTAAGCAAATGTGGAATTAATGGATTGCAGGAGCCGAAGTTGGTGTTTGCTATGGAATGAAGGCTCAAAATTTGCTGCCTAAAGCAGAAGTCATAACCTTTATCAGCAAAAAAACATCCAACGAATGCGACTCTACGCTCCGGACGAAGAGGCTCTGCAAGCCCTCGGAGGTACCAACATCAATCTGCTGTTAGATGTTCCGAATCCGGACCTTGAACATGTTGCCGCCAGTCAAGCCAATGCAGATCAATGGGTCCAAGACAACGTCAAGAAATACAGCACCGTTATTTTTCGATACATAGCCGTCGGGAACGAAGTGAAGCATTCGGATTCATTCGCTCAGTTTCTTTTCCCGGCGATGCAGAACATTCGTAATGCAATAGTCGGACAAGGCCTAGGAGATCAGATCAAAGTTTCTACCGCGACGTTTTTTGCCGCTCTTCAAGAATCTTCCCCTCCGTCCAATGGTGCTTTTCATCCCGAATACCAGCAACTTCTCGGTCCGGTCATAGGTTTCTTGAGGGACAATCAAGCTCCATTACTTGTTAACACATACACTTACTTTAGCCACATTGGTGATCCTGAACATGTTGGTCTTGACTTTGCTCTCTTTACGGCTCCATCCGTTGTAGTGACGGATGGTTCGCTGAAGTACCAGAACCTTTTCGATGCGATGCTCGACGCCTTTTACTCTGCCTTGGAGAAGGCTGGTGGGGGAGCTCTGGACATCGTTGTTTCGGAAACCGGTTGGCCGTTGGACGGTGGACAAGCCACCAGTGTCGATAATGCAAGGACTTATAACACGAACTTGGTTCGACATGTGAATCAGGGACAGGGGACTCCGAAGAAACCCGGAAAAGCTATAGAAGCTTACTTGTTTGCCATGTTTGATGAGAACGAGAAAGAACCCGAATATGAGAAACATTGGGGGCTGTTTTTCCCAAACAAGCAGGAAAAATACTCAATTACTTTCAATTAAACTAATATATATATAGACACACACACACACACACCATTTTAATGTCCTCTACATATAGGTGTTATGAAGAAGCCAACATATAGGCCAAATAATTCTTATCTGTTCATTGTATTTTACAGATTTGAATGTTTGCTGCTTAGCCCTTTTCCAGGTGAAATAAAACGGTTTCCTCTTTTATATTTAGGGTAAACTACCTATTAGTCACTATACTATTCAATATGTTCAATTTTGGTCACCAGACAGATTAGTTGCAATTTAGTCACTGTCCATTTTACTGATAACGGAGGAGACGTGTCTATTTTTAATTGGTACAATTATATATCTAGTCCTAAGACTTACAAATTCTATGAATTTAACCCTACATGATTTAGGACAAAGTCAACATACTTAATGTTATGTTTTGGTCACCCACCAATAATAAAATTAACTGTGAAGGTGGCGTGTCACCATAAGTTAATTCCACATCATCATTGAAAAATATTATCGTGTCAGTAGTTCTTATCATTTTTAACAACCAATGACCAAAATGGAATAAAAATGTAACATCATATATGATTTTTGAAAAAAATAAGTAACTAACTAAAATAGAACCACAAAAATATGTGGGTGACAAAATACATAGTTTGTCCAAAAATTTTTTGATAAACATGTACAATTTTAAAAACATTCATAATAAATAATCCATTAGTTAAGCAGAGTAAATTACTTATACAAAAACAGAGCTCATTGATGAGATATATTGTAAATTAAAATAAATAAAAAAGAATAGCAATAATTATAATGTTTACGGGCTTAATACAAGTAAGGTCCTATGAATACATGTGTTCATTAAAGAAACAAGTATTGCATTTTAAGTTAACTGTGCAGGTGATCCCTTGCTAATGGTGCTCCTTTGACACAAACAAATAATTTAATGACATGCGAACAAAAGCAATTTGAACCTTGAACTTTACAAATTGAAAATATTTTAAAAATATTGTTTATTAATTAAAGTGTGAATTGTAACGTGATTAATCTTATAACCATACAGTAATGTACTATTAGTAGTTTAGGAAGAATGTACTTGGTACGAAAATATTTTTATAATATAAAACAAACCATCATATTATTCAATTATTTTTGGCTTAAGGGATCATTTTATCCCTAAAATTCAGCAATGTTATTATTGTTTTTCTTATTACATCACTTTCATATAATTGTTTCAATTTTATCATTTAAACAAACGTTGATAATTATAATATTATCGTAATAGTTAATAATAAAAATGTAAAAGTCCATTATACTAATGTGTTTGTCTACGTTAAAATGATGATATGACATAAATCAAGAAAATAATTAATTTTTTAGTTGAATTTCAAGAACACAATTAGTTTTAATTGAAGTTTTGAGGACTTGTTTAATTTTAAAAAGATTAGTACATGAACTAAGAGCATTATTGGACCTGATTTTAATGCATGCAAATTGAACTTTGGAAATATGAGGATAAGAGAAGGGATGAGTGAAAAATATTATATAAAAAAGAAATATAAAATTTTAAAATGATAAAATTAAATTATCAATAGAAAATATAAAAGAATAATTAAATTATATAAGAAAGTCTTTAACTCCATTGATCCCAGCCTCTCGATCTATCTCTGAGTAGGAGAAACATCGAAGTTAGCACGATGCTATCGCCTAATCGAAAGAATTGTAAAACAAAAACAATCACAATTTCGTGTGCATTGAATGCGCATTTTAAAATTTCAGAATAGTAAATTTGATAAAAGGCCTATTACAGTGTTGAGATGCAATATACACAACAGCATAAATGGACTTGCGAACTTCATGAGAAGTACAATTAGCAGTTCACTAATTCTTCATTTTCATGTTTATTTCCGGTACGTAGATTAGAACAAAATAACATGAAAGTAATTTCTAATGACACCTCCCCCACAAGCATCAGCTTGTAATAAAGATGAGATACTCTGTGGTGGATCTTCCATATCTATACCCTGAGTCATATTTGTCAACTGCTATGCACATCGATTCCCTTCCTGATAATTACAACAAGTTTCCTCGACCCATCTTCCACGGATTAAGGCCTGAAAATCACCCACCAAGGGGGTGATCCAAATCTCTGTTGTTCTTTATCTATTTTGATCCATCTGATGTCCTAAGGTGGACAAATAAAATATTATTGTACCCCTTGGAAATCCTGATCTTGTCATCATTATATCTGCAAATGCACATTTAGTATTTGCAATTAGTTAAGCTTGCACCAAATAGAAGAAAATATTTGAGCCATCTTACAAGAGCTCCATATTAATCTTGGTCTCCATCTCCAAAGGGTACCCAAATGGACCACCAATCAGGGCTGCATCGTCCATGGTAACATCATATGTCTTTGTGCCAGATTTGCTGCATCAAACAATTTGTGAGATCAAGTTTTAGACTAGTTAACGAAACATTAATGCATTTCAATGTTACTTGAATTAGGTGTCAACGTCCAATGCTGCATCGTATGTTCATATTTTTTTTCCAAATTCATGTATTTGGAGGGTCCTTAAAGTGTCATATCACCAAATCAATGTTCGAGTATGTGTCGTATACGAATATCATACATGAATGCTTCAAGCAAAAATGAAAGATCAGAGAAACAAAGATTTGTTTCGATGAAGGGGGAAATTATGAAACTTATAGCTCATTTATGTGGTATGCTATGGGTTCAAATCTAAGGCCACTTTGGGGGACCTGTGAGTAACTAAAAATGACAGTTTTGGTTTGTCTCACAACATGACCTAGTGAGCTGGACTGGGTTCTGGCATAAAATTTTGGAAATTAACATAGTTAGGAAATATATTCATAACCTACCAACAGTTAGATGGGGCCATATACCTGGGAGACATCAGTCTTCATCCTTTATCTTTGGCTAAACTAGTGAAGTTGAATGAATTGCAATTGACATGAATTTTCCAGTTCAACTTTGTCGCACATGATTTGGGAATGCAAGGATTGTTAGTGGTTCATACAAATGTGTCGAGAGCCACTGAAGAGATTGTCGATTTTCTTAGACTCTCTCTTTTATCATAGAAAGACAACATATGTATAGAGAATGCAGGATGTATCAGGGGTCCTTCCATAATCAATGCCCTACTATGAGGGGGAAGAGGTAGAGTGGCAAGTAGTTAGGCTAAGGAGCTGTGATTGACCAGTTGTTGCTAGCCATGACTAGGCTCAATCCTGGGGAGTTGTTGCTGAAGTTTAGGGAAGTGATGGGACCTGATTGGAGCTTCACATCCTAGAGATCTCCTTGGGATTTGGAGGGTCCGGTCACTGGAGTTTGCGGCTCTGGCGAGCCCTCCCTGGGTGAGGCGATCCTTAATTGTGGCGAGGCCTTGTAAGTGGCTCGCAATGCCTTTTCTAGGTATGTTGTTCTGGTTTAGGCAAAGTGCTTTTGTTGAGGCATAACAAATTTCTACCCTTTCAACTTCGGAATAAAAGAAAAAGAAATTTTATCCTTTCAACACTAAAGCAAAGTGAGAGACTTACACAAAATTGCCAATCATGGAGAAACAGATCCCAGGTAAGATGTTGACTAGAAACTTCATCTGTCCATTCTTGACAATCTAAAGCAGTTGAAATAACAGCAAGGAACTGGATTACTATGATGAGAAGATTCCAGAAATGAGAGAATTACCAGAAACCATGACTTCATTGCAAAGCCGAAGTTACAATAACATTTGTATGTCACTTACTTGACTGCCCATAAGACCATTGCTGGCATTTTCTAGCCAACTATCTGTTTCTACCTGCAACAAGATAGTCGGGGCTGAGGTGAGCAAAGCCAGAACTAAGAAACAATTATCCAAAGTAAGAATATGACTACATTTATTTGATTTTAGACGAATGAAGCATGTTATGGTAGGCATGAACATATGGAGAAAGGGAAAGAAAATAACACTACTCATTATGAGCTTAGATGCCCGAGGCATTATAAATGCACCTGTGAGCTCCATATCATTTGCCATTCGCCCTCTAAGAGGACTGGTTCATCTTTAGCCACACTCTTGCTTAAGGAGAGAAACTCATCAATAGCCTGAAAAGGTTGTGAGAGGCAAAGATTAGTACTGGGAGACTACCCCAGATACACAACTCTTTCCAATATTGTTGGCAAATTCTAAGATTGTTATTTTACCTCTGTAACTCCCGTTCCTGTGGAAATAGCTGCCAGCAAAGTTTGCCTAGGATCAGTCTTCTTCTGAAGCACAAATGTAGTTCCCTGCACTACGGAGACATTGTTGGACTTCCTTCCCAAAAACTTTTATCCATAACACTAGCATAAAAATAGAACATATGAACGTAAACAAATGTTTTCACCTTATTTCCTCTTGAGATGCGGAGATTTCCAGAATGAGACAAATATGTAGTGTCTAACCAGCCTTTAGCTTCATCTCCAAGAAGTCTAAATGGGACTGGATACGGTACCTTAAATGGTAAAAATTTAAAGGAAAAGGCTGCTCTGTCAAACCGAAAGAGGATTCGTTTTCTATCTTTGATTGATGCTGCTGCCTGTAAAAGGAGAAAAATGGTAAGCTAGTCATCGAGAAAAGTTTAGATTTGCACGAAGGAACAAACTTGATGTCTATAATATTGCACCCAAAATTGTGGTGTGTCAGATACACATATGCATAGTAAACTCCATTTTTTCTAAACCTTTAATACACTTGGAGGATCATGTGTACACTCATCCATGTGTGTTGGACATGAGTAGGAACAATGTATACTAAGGATATTATGACCTAGAGGAGAACAAGGATATATGGGTTATATAAGCATCTAGGTTATTATGCACTAAACCTATTTGAGAAAACTAATGGCATACTCCTTATTCAAGGATGCTATATTAGCAAGAATATTGCTATTTCAATTAAAACAGATATTGACAATACGACTTGTTTTCTTAAGAAATACATCTAAACCATCTGCCCTTTGTCATGCCAAAAGTTAGTTTAATGAGAAAAATCTCACTGAGAATGAAATACTAGACATAATACACAGTGTAGGCAAGTTCACAACCTGAGCAAGCCAGTGAGTAACAGATACGTTTATTCATGTCTTGTAACAGTTTGTCCATGCAAGAAGAATTCACAAAAATAAAGCTACTCTGATCACCAGAGACGATGAAACCATACCTCTACTTTTAGTTCACCTATCCAATCAGAAAACTTTACGATATTGGAAACTCGTGGATCATTTGTCCGAAGATAAACCTCTTGAAATACGCTAAAAAGGTCAACCCCAACAAATGTTCTCTACAGCCAACAAAAAGCATATCATTGAAAAGAGAAGATGAAATACAAATGGAAGATGGACTAACCTGATTTCCATTATAGTATAATCAATAACAGAACATCGATTACCTTGAAGTAATAGTTTGAAGCTTCATTTTTTAAGGTTTTTTTTTTTTGCCTTGGGAAGAATAAAGAATGCTATAGCTCTATTGAAGCCTTTTCATACTAAAGAATTTTGTAATTTGACAAGGGTTCTAACTTCATTAGCATAAAACAAAAAGGAACTTATTTGTAAACATATATAGACACATAGTATGTTTATATGTCTTCGCCTACGAATTTGTTAAAGTGGTGTAAAGTTATTGGTTGAATTAAACTAGAGGTAAGTTGGATGGTTAATAATATAAAGTGGAGCAGTTTTTGGAGAGTCCATAAATCAGAGAAGACATGGATAGACTGAGTGGGATTGGTGGAGGCAGTCCTCCTTGAAAATTTCAAATTCTCATATAATTTATGTATTTCGTATATTTTTCATCGATAATCTATTTTTGTCCCCTACAATTCTATAAGTTCATCCCTCGTATAAAATCTTGCGTCCGTGATTGGAGAAGTGAGGACTAATTACCTGAATTGGGGATGCTGTGCCAGGTCTAGTCGTAAACATCAACTGCCACCGACCTTCAATTAGATCAGAGCTTGTCTACATGCAAGAAAGTATTCAGAATCACACGAAAATATTACCATTTTTTTAGTACTAAAATTACAGAAACCAAAACCCTGTGCTAACAGATACTACATTAACAAGCGTTCATTTCAATTCCCACTTAAAAACCAAAACCTTTTTGTTATTCCAACTTAAAAACACAAATTCCTTGCTTAGCTACTGATTATAAGACTGAAGTAGAAGAGGTTAAAGAAACTAACGGGATCTCTGACGCCGTCTTGGCCTTCCAGAACTTGAACAGCTTGCTCTACATCCTTTGAAGATGGAAAACAAAGTCATTACTAGTAAAATTGGAATTAATGCAGAGATTAAAAAAGAAAATTGTGTTTTGTACATTGAGTTGGCGAGGTGAAGCTGATTTGCCTCGGCCTTGGATCCCAATGAGTGCGTCGATAAGCTGCTTTTCCTGCTCGGTAAAGGAAGCTTGTTGCTCATTCACCAGAGAACAGCGACAGATTCGTAGAGTCTTGCGGATAGGACTTGCAGAAGGCTTGAAGTTGAAGTTCAAAGGAGACCATACGTTCAGATTTTTTATTGCATTTGCACCCACCGTCACCACAGCCATTTGTGCCTTACTTTCTGAAACTCCCTGAAGACTCAGCCCTGAGCTGTGACCAGTGAGTTACGTTTTGAGAGGTTGAGCTTTGTTTTATGATTTATCCATCAAGACCGGTTTTCAGGGTTGAAAGACACTTCACTTATCCATAACTTGCCACGTGGAATTAAGATATCATTTCCTTTCTTCTTTAAAAAATAAATATCTAAATTATATTTACTATTGATTTTAGGTTTTTAATTTTTTTATTAAATAGATATTTAACCTTTTTTTATTCTTTTAAGTGTTTAATCTATTAATCATTAAAATCAGACATAGATGGTGTTTATAATTTTTAAAAAAATTATTTTAAAATAGCTTAAAATTATATATTTTAAAAACAATCTTAAAATTTTTTAAAATCTTGAAAAAATTTATAAAATATTTAAATCTCTTTCTTATTATCACCATCACTGTTTACCATTATTATCGTTGTCAAATGCTCATTTATTCGACATCGAAGATCACTTACTCACTAACCTGTAATTTTTCTTCCATTTGATTATTGTAAATGCCATTTTTCTTTCATTGCGAAATTTGATTTCCATGTCAAGAATCTTTATGGGATTTATTTTTGGAATTTTGAGTCGTGATTTAACATTATTATTTCAATTTTCAACTATGATTTTAACATACCTCTCGCCATCGTCTACAACTTGATATAAATTACCCGATTTTTCTCTTCATCTCTATGTCGTCGACTTTCATTCTCATCAACAAATCCTTATGTGAAACCTCCTGTATTCTTTGCAAGTACCAAGACCTGATTTTGAAAACTAGAAATTGGTGACATTATATCTCTCATAATTAATTGTGTACTGTACTCCTTATTTTTTTATATAAATATTAAGTAATATCTATTAAAAAATTCTTAATCAAATATAAATGTTTATAATTCTGTCATACTTAAACTCGTAATCTTTTACAAAAATAATAATTCTTTTCATCATCGGATAAATAGGTATGTGCTTTACTGTACCCTTAATTTTTTAAAAATATATATTATTCCGTAAAATTAACTGCATTTTTTATACTAAACATTTAGAGCCCATTTGGATCAAGGAATTTAGCATTTCTAGCGGGCATAATTTTTTTCCTGATGAATGATACTCATGTTTGGATCAAGTAATATTTTCAAGTGAATGTAATATTTTAATACCAACAGTAAATTTTAGTGTTTTATTCATGGGAATGTTATTCCTAGTGTGTTCGGTATTTTTCTTTTCCCGTACTAAAAGTTAAAATACTTTTCCCGTGAGCATGCCTCTGACCGGTAATCTTCTTCTCCCCCGTGCTGCACCCCTGTGAGTGCAGTATTTGGATATTCTTTTATCAGACCATTTGTTAGAGAGCAGTATTGCAGCCCCTCCCATCCTGAATAAGCAGTTTGATACAAGTTTCGAGCGATCGTTTCCAAAGTACCAGTTCAGGGTATGTTCTCCATGCTGATAACCAGTGCATAGGAGTTGGGACGGACTTGAAGAAGATGTTTCGCAAGATCTATTGAGATCAACCCTTCACAACAACCCATTCCTCCCAAATTGTAGCTTTGAATATTCCCTCAAAGCTTGTAATGGTTGATAACCATGGCAGACAACGATGGTGTCGGATTAAACAAACTGCAGTTAACAATCAAAATTCCAATGTCTTTGGGTTTTACGGAGGTCTTAGCCAAAAGCTCGTCAATAGCACCAAACATGACAGCCTTGGCTTTTTTTCTTGCTTGATACATTGACGGGTTAGGGGGAATGTTGAGTACTGCCTCTGGAAGACATGTTGAATCCCCAAGCCCTGACCTTTCAAGGATCCTACGCTAAAACTGAAGATTATCATCGGTGAATGTACTAGTCAATTGTGATTGATCCACGGACATCATTTTCGAGCATTTACGAGATTCCTCCGGTTTGTAATAAGCGAAGTTGACAAGGTAAACAGGGCGAGGGCGAGTCAGAAAAGTAGAGGGTAGACAAGAAAACAAGAATCGTCCAGCAAATGATGACAGAAATGAGGTTGTATTGAAGATGCTCCCAAAGATCATAAAGATCCTGGACAGAAAATGTCGAGAGTTGTGCCGCGATTACAACTACAATTGGGGTAAGGAATGTATTGCTTGTTGGTTCCATGGAACATGAAATGATTCCGTTCTTGTTTTGATACTTATAGAGATTTGATATTATTGAAACTTGAAATTGTAACTAGACTATTGGTGGTCGAGTTGTGAGAGTTAATGAAGTGACCACCAAAGGGGGCAGATCAAATTTTAGTCAGGACCGCCCTAGGAGTGAGTGGGATATGCCTATAGGACAGGACAAAGAAAGAGATCATGGTAGAGAACAGTATTTTGATCGATATAGTGATAGGTCCAGAGAGCGTGATCGGTCTCGGGACAATGATTCTGGAAGAGAAAGAGGATATGAGGATCATGAACATGAGAGAACTGGAGAATACTCATTGGATAGCGATCACAACAGAGAAGTGGAGGATCATGTTCAAGGGCGCATGTTTAGGATTGGGATAAGGATCATAAGTTGAATTTGGATCAAGATAGGGAGCCTGCTAGAACCAACAGTTATAAAAGTGTTGATGAGGACAAGGAGCAACGACTAAAGAGACAGAATGGGTAACACTCCCTAATTGGTTACTTAATGTTTTCTGTTTTTCTTCACTAAATTTTATGTAATATAGTTCTTCACATGTTGATACTGATTCTATTGTGCTTCCTTTGCATGAGTTGTTGCTATATGCTTTCTTATGTCAATGGTTTCTACTCTAAGGTCTTCATGTAGTTCATAATATGTTGACTCTATTAATTATTCTTTATGAGTTCAGCTCTAAGCTTCAATATTTTTCCTTGGATCAATCACTTCAGTTTTAGTAATGTTTCTAGATTTTTTTTTCATGTGTGTGTGTGTGTATTAATATGGGAAGTCTTTTAAACTAATTTTCAATTTTGCAGCTACACGAGCAATGATCGTAGTAGAGGACTTTTATCTGATTCTGTTGATGATTACAATCAGGCAACCTCAACTTTGTTTTGATGCATGTTTGTGTGTAGTCTCCTTTTCTTTTTACTAGTTATGTTTTGTTTTCATATGAAAAAAGAAATGGAAAGATCGATTCAAGGCCAAGAAGAACTTAAAATAGAGGTCTACTACATTGTTGGAATTTTGAATTGATTTTTCTAGGAAATCTGGTCTAGGAAGATGGATATGATAGCATTTAGGAGTAGGCTAATGCATTTGTTATGTGTGCATATGCATTCTTGTGCTTGCATTACCATGGTAATCACTAGAGCGAGAATATCATTATCCAAGGTGTTTTAACAGAATCCAACCAGCCTTCTTTCGTTAGGGGCAATTTTATCCTCCTTTCCTCCAAGACTCAAAGAAAGACGTGCATGTTTATGTGTATGTGTGTTTTGGTTTTTCATTTCCACAATTGTGTAGTGGTAGGAAAAGGCAAGTGATATTTTTCGTGACTCATCAGATTTCGCTGATGGAAGTAAGGTTAGAAGAGAGACTGCATGTTATTTTGGAATTGCGGAAAAAATCTAAGGTATCTTAATGATATTACCTGTTGTTTAATTTTATTTGACCTGATACATTGTCTCAAAGAGGTTTATAGAAAGTAAAGGAGTGTAGGGAAAAACTTAAACGCTATGAACAAGAACTTCAGGTTAGCCACTGTCGTCTGTTGATCATGATTTACATATATCCAGTTGAAAACATGTTGTAGAGCCGAAGATACTGAATTTGTGGTTGTGTTGAGCACATAATTATATATCATTGTCCGTCATACGTATCAATATTTTGGTTTGTCAAATTTCTTTACAAGAATTGCATTGCATGCTGTTGATAATTCTAGCCTTTTACTGTGTCATAGTGGAAATGGATTTTAGTTCTGTATTTTTAGGTATTGAAGCAAAGGTAGCTCAGTAGTTATTTATTGTGAGTTACCACATGATGTGATGAATCGAATTAGGGTATTAAATCATCTTTAAAGAATCATTCAAGGAAGAAATGGTAACAGTCATTATATTCAGCTATAAACTTTACCTCGCAGTCCCTAGTTGATTCAACAATGGTAGGGTGATATGGGTGTAAGGGAGCGACAGTCTGGCAAATGATATTGCATGATTTGTGTTGGAAATTCGCTGATCAACATTTGATTGGATTACTTAAATCTTTTATGCAGATATAGCATGAGAAGATTTGAAGGGCAACTAAATTAGATCATTCTTTCGATGTTGATATGCTTTAATGTTCTTTGTTGATCACATCACTGGGTGATGCAAATTCTAAAATTGAATTAGTTGCAGTAATCCATCCAAAAGTACATTCATACCGCATTTTTAAGAGGATTAAGAGAAATATGTTTACTGTTATTTCTAAAGGAAAATTGTGACAAATAGTTATCGTGATGCATAGATCGTGCTTGATTGCTGCTGTTGCATGTGCTTCATCCAAGCTTGTTTGTATATGAATAACCAATGCATGATCGTTTTGTCACAAATATGCACCGCTCTCGCTTGCTTCGAGTGTGTCAATTGTTGTTATGAACTCTGTGATAGTTTCTAGTGATATGATGAAAGGTAGTTGAATTCTTGAAGACGAAAAGACATGGATATGAATATTACTATTGTGGTTATTGTATGTATACGCTATTGAAAATGATAATGCTATGAGTGTAACATCCCAAATTATGGATTAGTGACCAAATTGTAAAGTTTCAGAATTTGATGACTAAAGTAGAAGAATGAAATAGTTCAATGATTATTGGATATATATGATGAAGGTTATTTAGTAATTATTAAAGGAAATAAAGGGTAAAATGGTCATTTGATCATTTAAGGAAAAAAATGGAATTATATACACGTGGAAAGGGAGAGAATTCTCCAGAATTCTCTTCTCCTTTCTTCTTCTTCTTCTTCTTCTTTCTTCTTCTTCTTCTTCACGTGGAAGCCAAGAGCAAAGGTAAGTTTGATTTAGCTTTTGATTTCTTGAAAGTTTTAAGTTGGATTTGAGTCTTTG